ACACACACACACACACACACACACACACACACACACACACACACACATGCTTCCAGTTGGCAGGGTTGAATGCTCTGCCTCCCTGCAAACTAAAACACACAGAACGTGTCTGATTCTTTACTTATTTAAAAGGTTTTAGGTTACTTGGATGATGGGAGGAAGTTGACTCTCCCTTACAGACAGGAACTGTCATGTGAAGCTTATATGTTCATGTGTGTTTTTTGCGTGACGTAGCGGCAGCTGCTGGGTCTGGTTTGGCAGGTTTTTCTGTGGACAAGAAGAGAAAGCAGACAAGAGTGGAAAACGAAAGAGGCAAAGGCTTTCCCCCTCTTCACTGCTCCATTACGGATCTTCTCTTGTTGGTGTCGACGAATCGAGCGTCTGCTCCAGGTAAGGCTCTGCTTCTCTGGTTTGTGTGAATTTAGCTGAAGGATAAACAAAAGCTGTAGTCAGAAATGTAAACATTTCACGGTGGTTGAGTTATAGCGAACCATTTTGTTCCTTCTTGCTGGTAAAGAAAGATTTAGACGAGCCGTTTCCAAAAAATAAAGACAGAAAAGAAAAGAAAAACGTCAGAGAAGAAAGATTTCCTTTTGCTGTGAGTAAGATGAACATTCTTGGAGAAAAGGAGAGAGTGAGTCATGAGGCCGGAGAAAATGATGTGGTCTTCTGCTCATAATAAAACCAGATGCTTGGGGTGGGCTCACTTCAAAAGACATTTTTAAGAAATCTCACAGCATTCCTTATCAGCTTTCGTGAGCCATAAAATAAAGTTTTACTCAAAGTTGAACAAATGTAGCTTCAAGATGGAAACCACCTGGTGTGACGCTTCCTGTCAGAAACAGCTGAGCCGTCGATGCTCGGCTCAGAAACACTCCTGGCTTCGTATTTTAATCAAAACTGGCTCCAAAGCTCTTCACCAGGAACATCAAATCGTCTCTGGATAAACCTGTTGATTGTCAGGATCCTTTTTTTGTTTGTTTGTTTGTTTTACCAAGTTCTGCTGCAGGTCTTGAGCTCTCATCTTCTGTTAGATCTTCAGGAATCTGGAACCACCTGAGAACAAATTCTGTTTTTGAAAAGCATAACATCAATTTTTGATTGTTGTTCTGAAAAAAAGTCATTTTCTTTTGTTTAAGTGGATCCAAACAATGTTTACACCAGGTTTCAAACAATTCAGATCAGATAATGATCACTGGAAGCTAGATTTTAAGATAAAGGGTTGTAAGCTCAATCATCCAGGTAGGTAACAACAAAAAAGGTTAAATTATGTCATCTGGCCCAGTTTCTTTACGTGAGAAACATTTCCATCCAGAGGACTTATTCAGTCTATTTACTGCTAACCAGATCTGTCCAGTGGCGGCTGGTGGAGTTTTCTCCATGGGGGACTATAACTCCAAAATAGACATATCTCAAGACAGATACTAAGGTATCACACCCGTGTATTTACATGACTGAAAACAACAAAAGCAACATTATAATTTCATGTAGTGTTCTACTTTTTACCTAAACCTAAAAAATTAACGCACCAGTTTAATACAATATGGACATGGCTATTAGTCAGCTTTCTAATTATTTAATATATAAAAACTATTTATTTTATGAGTGTATGTGTTCATTTAATAGCAACAATGCAAATTCACATAGCGCCTACAAAAAAGTAGACCACTATATTATATAGGGCAAGGTGTGCGCCTCACTTCTTCACAATTCAGCACTATGATTAAAAACATTGTCAAAGATCTACATCGCACAATTAGCTTCTATTTCACCTATTCTCTTGTTCCATTTCGCATCTCTATCTGAACGTCTCAAGCTGCATTCAGCTCTGGGCGCAGGAGAGGTGCGCCTCAGAATGACCTATCTCTTGTATTGAAGAGGAGTTACTGCGCATGTACAACTTTTAACGAGAGTCTATGGGCAAAGATTTTTGCACCCCAGGGCGGAAATACGTCACCAATCAGACAACGTCGATGACCGAAACAACTTTACTCATCATTAACTATAAAATATTTATCTTACAAAACTAAAAAATATATACATATATTTTGAAATATTTTTATTTCATTATTTCATTTTTATTTTTATTTTTTATGTCTTATTCAAGGTAATGTGGTGAGTGGTGGGGCGGCGCCCTTGCACCCTCTATTGGCCAGCCGCCACTGGATCTGTCCCGTAAGTAGCCTTCACTGCTATGTTTCCAGCTAATCTCCTGTTGGAATCTCAATTCAGGATTCCAACAGGAGGATGGCTTGAAACAAAAGTGAAGGCCTATGGGACAGATCTGGTTGGCAGGTTGTAGACTGAGGAAGTCCTCCGGATGGGGGACGAAACGTTTCTCACTTAAAGAAACTGGTCCAGATGACACAGTTTAACCTTTTTTGTTGTTAGGTTTTAAAATGCTTGTCAACGACAACGCAAAACTTAAATCCAGACTAATGCAGTTAACATTTGCTGATTATTTCAAAAACTCAAAGTTTGTTTTCTCAGTCATCCAGGTATATAACAACAAAAAAGGTTGAATCATGTCATCTGGACTTCGTTTTTTTGTTAAAAAGAAACGTTTCGCCCCTCATCCAAGAGGCTTAACAAAAAAACGAAGTCCAGATGACATGATTCAACCTTATTTGCTGATTATGTTTTAGTTAATTTGGTTGTAGATTTGCCTGACTTTGAGGAGGATTTAACAACAAACACATGATTTTAGTTTCAGGACTTGACTTCCTGGTGCCGAGTTTCCTCCTAAAACGTTTAACTTCTTTTGTTTGTTCACAGCTTAAGTGAAGTAAAGAAAAACATAATTCAGTTTTAGTTCCTCTTATGGTTTATCTTCATAATGGTAACAACACAAAAACCTGCTGAGGAGCTTATTCATCTGGTGGATTCATGTGTTTTTACCACAGAAAGACAAGCTGGCATGTCGGTGGTCAGACAAATCTTTTCTGATCACTCGTAGACGTCAGCGTCACTTCCTAACGCAGCGCATTTGAAAAGCAAATGAGCTTTTCCTTCCAACAAAGCTGAGCTCAGATCCCTCTGCTCGTTTATAAGAACAGACTCTTTCGTTTGTTCCTGGCGGGTCCAATCCACGATATTCAATCTGTCCTGCAGATAAAGGAAGGTTTTCACAGCGGTTTTTAAAACTTATAAAACCCAGACTGAGTTTCTGGTTGATGAGTCACTCAGGTTTACTGAACTCCAAACATTTTAATTATTTTTTCTAAACAAGTAACTCAGACCCATCCGGGTTTTATTTCTCATTTTCCAGTAAAGCTGAGGGGAAGTTCAAAACTGCAGAGGTTCTGATGTCTATTACTAGTTCCCAAATGATCTCCAAATCAACATATTTAACCAAATTGAACATTTAGGGACATTTTACCTAGTTTTTATTTTACATTTGGCTACAAAAAAACAAAATAATATACATTTTTACTATGAAATGACATTTGCTGTTGAGTTTTACACCTTGATGGAGTTTAAATCAGTGAACAGATGCCAGCATTAAAATACATTTTTATCTTTTGTTTAACAGAAACCTGCACAGTACACATCCTGCATGCACTTCATGTTGCCTTCAGGGCAGATTTTTTTGTTGTTGCACAGATCAGTGATGGCGTTTAGGAACTAATCTAACCATCAGACCAAAGAGCTGAACATTGAAGTGGATTTCGTAACGCACTCTTTTGAAAATGTTCTATTTTTTTGTTGCATTTTCATCTGAACTCGTCCTTTAATTATTTAACTCTCAAATAACTTGAAACTTTTGCGTCCGCCGTATAAGAAGTCGAACTCTTCTGAGCTAAATACGTCATTACGCTTCACAAAACACCCACATGTTTATGTTGTCATTTATTTAGGCATTTTAAAAGCATTCTGTATCATAACATTTGATATTTCAGGGAGCAGAAGCGCAGCTCGGATGTCACCAACGTAAAGAAATATTGATCGAAACGTCACGTTTCTTGTTGCAGATTAACCCAGAGTGTAAAAGAAGAAAATACACAACAACATGGTTTGTAGCAATAGTTAATGCATATAAACATGACTAAATCATTCACTATATGATGATGATGATGTCGTCTCCCTGCCGCCGTCTACTTCCTGAAACTGAACAGGTTTCTCGTTGGTTCACTACCTAAATGTAACATAAAAAGTGTAATATTCACATCCCCTATGCAGAAGAAGGAACTATATTTAACACAATCAAGTGTTAGTGCTCAACATACGTGTTGGAGATGACTCTCACATACTACCACACCAAATCTGCTGTGGCAGCCATCTTGAATCAAGTAAGCAAAATCATTTGTGGACTTTTATTAAACCCATCCAGTGGTTTTATGAGATATTTTGCTAACAGTTAAACAAACACGCCGCTCATTTGGATGACTGATTCCATCCGAGCAATGGAGAGGAGCAGTGAAGAGTTTGCTGCACCACTGGTTATGTTCCTGCATGTTTCCACTCGTGTGTTGGGTAAAGTGTGGCTGAAGGTTCGTTGCAGCAGCTCTGACCGTCTGATCCTCCTTCAGAGGAAAGCTGGTTAGAAGTGAAACGCAAACATAAGTTGGTTATTGTTTGTTTTTCCACAGCGAGAAGTTCGAGGCCCAGACGAACGGCTGCAGGGATGAACTGGTCGGGACTCGAGAGTCTGCTGAGCGGAGTCAACAAATACTCCACAGCGTTCGGGAGGATCTGGCTGTCGATGGTGTTCGTGTTTCGCGTGCTGGTGTTCGTGGTGGCGGCGCAGAGGGTGTGGGGCGACGAGAGCAAAGACTTCGTGTGCAACACCCGGCAGGTAAGATCCACAAAGACGAACTTTCACAGATAGAGTGCGGAAAACACGCTCACCTGTGAGGAGCGTCTGTACAAGAGTGTCATGTTTTGTCTTACTGCCGTACGGAGGAAACGTGAGCATGATGGTTACTGAAACAACACTTGGATTTCCAGTATCCAGCAATACCCATTATCAGTCTGTGTTTTTATTTTATGCATGTATTTTCAATTCAACTACTCCTGCAGACTTTGTGGGGTTTTTTTTTTAGCTTTTCATTTATCAAAACATTCGGCTCATGCAGCAATTGGGTGTCATGACATTTGTTTTGTAACTTTTATACTATTTCATATTATTTTAAAATATCTATCTTTATTTAAAAAAAAAAAACAACTGCCACATAGAAATGTGCAAAGATCTTTGTACCTCTCTTGAAAATGTTCTCTTTAAAATCGTCTCCTTCTGCACAATTCTCCGTTTTTGTCTTCTTATAATAATATTAGCTTTAAGATATAATTTAGCTATATGTAGCTTTTAGCTACTGTTTTGCTGATTTCAGAGTTTAACTACGATTTTGCTAGGTTTAGTTTATAGTAATGATTTAGCTTGTTTCAGCTATTCGTCATTGTTTAGCTCACTATACTTTTGCTTCTGTTTTTAAATTTTGGCTTTTCACTACTGTTGATCAAATCTAATCCCGTCGGCTGTATTTAAAAATTAGCTTTAATGAACTGTTTTGTTCATTGTTGTCATTTAGTCATGATTTAGCTACTTTCAGCTTTTTGCTTTTGTTTAATAATTTTAGCTTTAAGCCACTGTTTTGCTCATTTTAGTTTAGCAATAACTAGTTTATCTTTTAGCAACTGGTTAGAAGATTTTTGCATTAAACAATGATTTAGCTAATTTTAGCTTTTTGCTTTTGTTTTGTTAATTTCAGCTTTTAGCCACTGTTTTATTCATTTTAGCTCTAGCTTATCTTTTAGTTACTGGTTAGATGATTTTTGCATTTAGCTATGATTTTGCTATATTAAGCTTTAAACAATGATTTAGACAATTTTAGCTTTTGCTTTTTAACTTTAGCTTTTAGCTGCTGTTTTGCTAGTTTTAGATCTAGCTATAATTAGTTTATCTTTTAGCTACTGCTTAGATGATTTTTGCATTTAGCTATGATTTTTATAAGTTTAACTTTAAACAATGATTTTGCTAATTAGCTTTTTTATTTATTTATATATATTTTTTTGTTTGAGCTTTTAGCCACAGTTTTGCTAATTTTAGCTCTATCATGCCGCTCATCACTTTCCACACTTTTGCTCCATTCAAGATCAAAGCGATCTGGTTTAAGTTTTCAATGAACGTGACTGAAAACATTCCAGCATTATGATTTGTTTAATTTTAAGTTAAATAATTTCTCACAAACTGAACATTATGTCATTAAATTAGACTAGCAATAATTCACAACTGGTGATTTTGTAGGTATCGCCCCCTGCTGGTCTTTAGAGAGAATGCAGGGCAGTGTTGCCAGGTGTATGATAATTATCGTATTTGTACGACAATTTTGCCCTCTGTACGATCAATAATCCCCAAAAAGGCCAAATATATGATAATTTGACCATTCCGTGAATGTGTGGTTGTAATCGGTTGTCATCAGCCTCTCAGAGTTTTTTGTGAACGCTGAAGGCATCTGTGTCCGCAAACAGATGCACGAATGGCTGAAAATTCCTGCCATTCGTGCTTTTCTAAATGTGACCTACGAGTGACGTGTATGCGTTTTTCTCAGAACAACGGCCATGATTGGCTGAATAGTCCGCTGCGCCCGCCCCACGAGTGAGGAAAAGAAAAGAAGAAGCAGAGCGTCCGGAAGCGGACCCATCACTACTATAGTGCATAAATAGATTTGTTATTTTGGTTATGACGGGTGTACGATAATTTCCCTCAAAATACGATAATTTTATGTCTCTAGTACGATAATCCCACATTTCTCACCTGGCAACACTGATGCAGGGTCCAACAGTGCTTTAGTACTTTTGTTATTTATGATGTCAAACATAAAAACATTTTGAAAACAACTTTAACTTTTTTTGCAGCCTGGTTGTACCAACGTCTGCTACGACCACATCTTCCCCATCTCCCACATCCGTCTTTGGGCGCTGCAGCTGATTTTTGTCACCTGCCCGTCTCTGATGGTGATGGCGCACGTGAAGTACCGCGAAGGGAAGGACAAGAAGTACGGGGAGCAGCACCAAGGCTCTCATCTGTACGCCAACCCTGGCAAGAAGAGAGGCGGTCTGTGGTGGACGTATCTGCTGAGTTTGGTCTTCAAGGCTGGGTTCGACACGTCGTTCCTCTACATTCTGTATCGGATCTACCACGGATACGACCTCCCCCAGTAAGCCTCGCTACTTCTTCTCAAATAAAAGCGATGTGGTTCTTTAATCTGCTCTACTCGTTTTCAGGTTGTCCAAGTGCTCGATAGAGCCGTGCCCCAACACCGTTGACTGCTTCATCAGTCGTCCAACAGAGAAGAAGATCTTCATGTTGTTCATGGTCGTCTCCAGCGCGCTCTGCATCTTCATGTGCATCCTCGAGATGATCTACCTTGTCGGCAAGCGCGTCATCAAAGTCATAAGGGTCCGGCATGAGAACGCGCAGATGATGTTCGCGGAACAACACGAACTCACCGCCATCGCGCCTCCCCAGTCCCAGTACCGGAGGACGGATCCGACGCTGACGGACAGCCAGATGAGTCTGAGCAGGAAGGGGAAAATTAAAGAGGGGCAGAAAACGACGGTGCTGTAGGACACAAACGGTGTTCGGTTTTTAAACTTTTACGACTGATGGTTACAGTCCTGTGCTCGGGTGGAGCATGAATGATTCTCCTCTAAAGGAACTGTTCATCAGGACCGCTGTCGGACAGAGTTCACGTTTCACAAACAAACAGATTGTACGGCGCGAGTGAAACCTGATGAATCTGCAGCGATACGATACATACGATACATGATATACGATGCAACGATACGATATCTGCACCTTCAGCACTGTTAAATTACTTTACGCCAATCGAGGAAATCTGTGCAATCTGCTTTTATCTTGTAGTGAGCCCAAATGGAGGCTGTGGATGAGTGGATCTACCAAGGCGGACTTACTCCTTACTCTAGGTTTGTCAAGGATTTCTTTGGCCTTATTGAAATGTGTGCTCAGGGCGACTGAAACATCAAACTAAACTTTACACCGGTTGTTGTGACAATAAAACAATCTTGACTGAGATGTTGACCAGCTGTTAAGGTAAGTTCAAGTGTTAGAAGAAAGGAGTCAAAGGGGATTACCGGTAATATGAAGACTAAATAAATAGAAGGACTCTTTCCAGTAAGAAAGAGTTTTAAATAAAAATAAATAAATACAAAGTTTGGTGTCAAAACTTTTCATTTTATGATTCTTGTCAACATGTCAATAATGGGATAATTTGCACAATTCCCTCCATCATCATTTACTCTCTAAAAGGTGGTATCTCACCGGGCAGGGACTCAAAACCACTAGAAAACACAGAATTTCAATTAAACTAATTCAATTCTAAATGTCTGAGAAAAAAAACAGAGTCGTGCAGCGTATCTAACCATTTTTTTAATGTCTTGTTTTGTCTGAATTAGCGCAGCTATAGCTGTTTTTTATACGTTAGGACAAAATCAGAAACCATGACACCAGCAAATATTTGTCTTTATATGTTTTTCTGTCCCTTTTTGTGCTTTAGAGAAGCTTAAGTCCAGACAGCTGACAAAATCTAGAAAAAAACAAACGTTATAGTAAATCTTTGAACAAATGTTGTTTGTTTTAACATGACGTCATGGTGTGTGAGCTTCGTGTAACTTGTGCAAGTGTGTATTCGTCTTGTTTTCAGGTTTTGACTGCAGATTATAGTTTCTGGGTTTAAATGTCAATCAGTCAGAATCTATTTCCTGTCGCAGTGACAAAAGAAAGTGTTTCATAAGAGGAGTTATATCATTTAACAGATTTAGTCAAAACAAATGAGTAAACACATTCTCACCTAACATTCAAGACTTGGAAATGGGAATATTTTTCATCACTAATTGCATTTTTTCAATGATACTGCACATATTGGTGAAGAATGTGAGCTGCAGTTAAAAAAGTCATTTTGACCTTACCTGCTGTTTCAGATGAATGCCTACCTGAATAGTTTGTTTTAAGTAGGATGTTATGTGTAAAATTAATGTATTTTTTACTTGCATGCCTAAATTATTCGTTACTTTTTTTTTCAACAGTAGCTGTTTTTTTTTTTATTTAAAAGGTTTTTTTATTGTTACCGTTTGTTTTTATTTTTAAATGTCTCACCCTCATCTACCACATAGGGGCGCTGTTCCACTCATCAGAGAGAGAAACAAAGCAACAATGTATTAAAAAGAGTTTTAGAAAAATGAAATACGGTACTGTACTGTATTCTGACAAAATAAAGAACGCCTGAATATAATAAAGTTTATTCTATCAGTCAATGATGACTGCTCTTTTAACCGCTAAACTCCACCTTCGCCTCTAACCGGTTCATCTGCCGGTAAACAGAAAAGGAGCGGTTTTGCTTTCGAAAGCAAAGCTCTTTTTGTCGGCCGAGATAAAAACGAGGAAAGCTGTTGTGTGCGGAACAAGACAAACAAGACAAAAAGAAGAGGCTATTTTATCTATTTTTTTCACCATTTCAAACTAAAGGAGAGAAAATATAAATCATATCCGACGAGGATGGGATTCGAACCCACGCGTGCAGAGCACAATGGATTAGCAGTCCATCGCCTTAACCACTCGGCCACCTCGTCATGTTCCCATGTAGGAGCATGACTTTTAAATAAAACGCAAAAGCGATGATTTTCCCTATTTCATGTATTTGATTAACACTTAAAATGTATAATACGCCTGGATAATAGGATTAAACTTGTTCTAGTAGCATCTGAGTTTTTGCGCGTGCTCACTGTCACTTTGTGCTGTAACTTACCTTTACCTACGTAGGCTTGTCGGTTTATTTTTGCTCCTGTCGTGTATAAACTTCTACTTTGTGTTAAAATTAATATGAACATTTCAAATTATAAGCTATCTAAAGCAATGCATAAATAAAAGTCCGTAGCGGAAGTGTTCTTTCTCTGCATTTTAATTTCTCGTTTATGTGGACGTTGTCGCCACCTAGTGGAAGAGCTGGGTATTACAGCAATTTGTCATCTGGACATTTTGTGTGAAATAAATTAAAAATAACAAATACGTGAGTAATGGTATTGATGTAGACAGAGTCTGGTCATCTAAACTTTTCTATATTTTTTTGTTTGTTTGTTTTTTTCTTCTTGTTTCATTTGACTAATTTGACTTGTAATCTTATTTCTCACTCTTTGAGCCTTGCATTTTCCCATCAATCATTATATTGTTTAACATATATACTGCACATTTTGTTAAACTTCATCTGACCAACCCTTTTTATTCAATTTACTTGAAACAATGCATTTGAAAATTTACTGGAAAAGTAAACGTGGGGCACAATTTAATAGTCTTTTGGTCGTTAGAGAGCTGCTCACTGAGTGAGAACAAAAATAAAAAAAGAAAACATTAATAGTCCAAACAGTTAACTCTGCAGATCTCAAGATAAACCCTGAGGTTTTTCTCAGCAGTATCAGTACCCTGTCTTTTCTGACCACACATCATGCAGCGTTTGATTATTCTGCAACATCTTCAGACGAGAACTCTCGACTGTTTCCACCTCTGGGAATCACTATGGCAACTTGAATCAGAGCTGCAGCCCATCCAGCACCTGATGAGCATTTCATTTCATCGAGAAGAAGGTAAATGTTTGAACACGCTTTGATTTAGGACATTCTTATATATATAAAAAAAGGGTCCTACTATCAGAGAGGCATGGGGACAAATAGATTAAATGGCAATTAGCTCATCCTGACACAAAATCTGCTTAAATAATTTTTTTTAATGATACTAGCATGCAAATAGTTTCTCATGCAACAACTGGGAAAGCTTATTCTGATTTCCTTTCCACTACAAAAATAATCAAAAATTAAATATAAAGAACATCTTATGGTTTTTAGGCAAGATGCAATGACAGATTTTGACCAACAGGTGGTGCTGCATGCCACCTGGTGCTTCCTCCTCCGGGATATTTATTTTATAAAGGAGGATGAGGTGCCTTAAAAGCTTTAAAATGATGCTGAGTGGTTTAAAATCAGAGAGACACTGTTCAGAATCAGCTGCAGGATTAACATGTTGAAATGATGCTCCCTCAGGGGGTTCAGCGTCCTTAATTTGAAGATGAGCCTCGAGAAGAGAACAGCTGGTTTAAAATAAAAGGTACAAATGTGGATCTGAGCACATTTGACTCATCGAGCTGTGATAATTGTTCTCGTAAAGGTTTTTATTTTGATGCTTTTTCTCAGTCCGTGTCCCGAAATGTCCTTGGAGGTGACGCAGCGTTCCTCCCTTTTTCGTAGTTTTAGATAAAAGCTTCTGATAAACGAATAAATGTGAGCATCAGCTGAAGGCCATTTAAAGGGAAAGAGAACGTCTTATTTCCATGAAAACAGAAGTATTTTTGTGGAAAAATATTTTGTTGCTAATAAACTTAACTTAAATCACACTTTGGAAAATCTGTACAAGAAAATTAAACTAAATTAAAAAATTTAAAAGATTTATAAATGTATGTTTTTTGTTTTTTTTAAAGCTCCTTCTGGTGATCCTCATATCATAATGTTGCCTCCACCATGCTTTACTTGGAGGAATGCATATCGCCCGCCACCTTTCATGTCATTTATAGTTTAAAATCTCACCATGAAGAAGAATAATTGCAGTCGTTTTGGTCAAACGTCAAAAACTATTTTATGTACTGTCTCATTTAACATTGTGAGATCTCACATGGTCTCTGTGCACTTAAAGTATATGTTAAGGATAACTCTCAGCTACCACCACACCTTGTGGCATAAAATCAGTAAAACTGTCCAAGTTGTAGCCATTATTGTGTTTGAGAAGGTTGCTTAGCTGTAGCAGCCATCTTTAACTTACCATAGTTAACTCCAAAAGTTAATTATTTGTAGCTGCACATAAGATAAGATAGAACTTTATTGATCCCACAGATTTTAAATATTAGTTTTTATTTGGTTCATAGTGATAATTGAACGTTTGCTGAGTGCAGTAGAAACAAAAGGCACATTGATGGTATAGTTTTCATCCTCAAAGGAACAGCTGACCCATTTTCTGTGATTTATAAAGTGAAAAACATAAAAACAGGATAACAAGGTTTCTGTAGTCACTCTGTTCGTCAGTGACGCTCCTTAGAGCCTCTTAACTGGCTGTCTATTATTCAACAATATATAATTATAATGTAAATGTAAATGAACACTGATCTAGAGCCTCATTTTTAAAAAAGTCTGAGCAACTTCAGCTACAAAGTTAAAAAACTGAGCATGCCAGATGTATTTGGAATAATGCCTGAATCACCGCAATGTTGCCATGTTACTGACGAACACATAATCGGAAAATCAAACATGGAGGCTGAGGGCATGGGGACAAAAAAAATGCAGGAGGTTCAGCGACCGAATCGTCCTTCATTCAGAGAAAATGCAGCATTTCTTCTGTTGGAGGTAAAAAGGTTTTAAAACCATGTCCTCGTTGGTGTTCGCCTCCTGGGAGCAGCTGCAGCCTTTATGTTCTGCTGCTCTGGGTTTTACTGCTCTTTGTGACTCGCCTACATATGAGAAACAGAGCCACTCAAACCTCACAACAGCAACGAAACGGATTTTAAGGTTTGG